AAATACTTCGAAATCCGAGAGTCTTTTGCTTGATACTCTTCTTTAATTTGATTCACTACCAGTTGTGAATCACTGAAAATTAGAAGGTGAGTGGCCCCCAACCCTTTTGCCATGCGCAGTCCAGCCAACAGGGCTTCGTACTCGGCCTCATTGTCTGAGGTACGAAAGTTGAAGCGCAGGGCATATTCAAAACGCATACCATCCGAGGCGAGGAGGAGCACACCTGCGCCACACCCTTTCTCATTCGAAGACCCATCTACGTACATCGTCCACGGCTGGTCGAACGAGGAGGTCTGAGCTGGCGGAGGAGTGAGTTCACTATGAAGTCCGCAACGACCTGTCCCTTTACAACTGTTCGAGGCTTGAACTCGACATCGTACTCACTTAGCTCTACAGCCCATTTGATCAACCGTCCAAACGCCTCTGGCTTATGAAAGACCTACTTCAACGGCAAGTTTGTGAGCACGGTCACGGTATGGGCTTGGAAGTACGACCTTAGTCTTCGTGCCGCAGTGACTAAGGTGAGGGCCWGTTTCTCCATTTGAGGATATCTGGTCTCGACCTCGGTCATGGCGTTACTTGTGTAATAGACAAGACTCTGCCGTACTCCATCTTGTTTGACAAGGACSGAGCTGACAGCGCTGTCTGACACGGCCAAGTATAAATGTAGTTTATCTCCTAGCATGGGCTTCGCGAGCAATGGTGCAAAGCAGAGGTAGCATTTGAGTTCTTTAAAACCTGCCTCACACTTGGCTGTCCACTCGAATGGCCCCTCAGTTCTTAACACTTTGAAGAAGGGGATGCACCTGTCGATGGACCTAGAGACAAACCTGTTGAGGGCAGCGATTCTCCCATTAAGGCACTGTAGCTACTTAAGGGTCCTTCGTGCTTGCATCTCGAGAACAGCATTTATCTTCTCTGGGTTAGCCTCTATGCCACGATTATTGACCATGAACCCAAGGAACTTGCCAGACGAGACTCCAAAGGCACACTTGGCAGGATTTAACTTCACTTGATACTTTCTRAGTATTGCGAAGGTTTCAGTCAGGTCGGCCAGGTGCGATCTGGTTTGCTAGCTTTTGACAAGCATGTCATCCACATAGACTTCCATATCGCGTCTGACCTGGTTGGCAAATATTTTATTCACCATCCTTTGATAGGTCGCCCCCACGCTCTTTAGACCAAAGGGCATGACCTTGTAGCAGTATAGACCTTGGTCGGTTGTGAAAGAGGTGTGGGCTTGATCTGGCTCATACATTTTTATTTGGTTGTATCCGGAGTAGGCGTCCATAAAGGTGAGCAGCTCGTGACCGACTGTAGCATCTACGAGCTGGTCGATTCTTGGTAGTGGGAAGCAATCTTTTCGACAAGCCTTATTAAGATTGATGAAATCTACACAAATTCTCCACTTTCCGTTGGATTTTTAAACCAGGACAACATTAGAGAGCCACTCAGGATACAAAACTTCTTTTATGTATTCAGCTTTTGAAAGTTTGTTTACTTTTTCAACAATTACATCACTCATTTCCCTATTTACAGGTCTTCTTTTTTGCTTAACAGGTCGGAATGATGGGTCGATGTTGAGGCGATGAACCATGATCTTCGGATCTATACCCGGCACGTCCTCATGAGACCATGCGAACACGCCAGTGTTCGCCCTGAGGAAGGAGATGAGTTCTTCCCTGTCCGCAGCCCCCAGCTTAGTGCTTATGCTCACTTCTTTCTCTGGTTTGAGCAAAGGGACAAGCTCTAACTCTTCTGTTGGTGCCGCCACCTCCCGTTGGTTGATTTTGGGCAGCTCGTTCTCGTAAGTCTTAGTTGCTGAACTTAGAGGATCTGACTGCTCTTCCAAAGTGTAAACTGCTGAACCTTTGAATACATAGGTGTAGCACTGTTGGGACATTTTCTGCTCTCCTCATATCATGCCGACTCCGTTGATCATAGAATACTTCATAACTTGGTGCATAGTCGATGGGATGGCCCGAAGTGAATGGATAATAGGTCGTCCGAAGATGGCATTGTAGGCCGACCTGCCATCTATTACCACGAACTCGACCATCCGARTGACTTGGGTATCACCTTGGCCGATAGTGATGAGAAGATCAATGCAATCCTCTAGGGTGACAGATTCTCCCGCAAACCCTACTAAGGGGGTCAGACTCTTCTTCAGCCGTGCCCTGGTCCATCCCAGTGCTAGGTAAGTGGTGAGAGATAGAATGTTGGCAGAAGCGCCCTCATCTACCTGCACCTTTCTGACCTGGACATGGTATATGAATGGCGAGATCACCAGGGCATCGTTGTAGGGCAAGTGTCACCCCTCCAGATCGGAGTCGGAGAAGGAGATAGGGCAGGTCAGCTTCTGCTCTTGAATGCTGCAGACTTCCCAAAGAGCCTCCCTAACCAGCTCCTTCCTCTTGTTCCCGGATTGGCCCCCACTAGGACTGCCAAAGATGGTATTGATGACCGCAGGTCGGTCATCTCTCCGAGGTGGCGTCCTTGAATGCTTCCTCTCTTTTTTCTTCTCTACCGAGCTCGCGCCCGGCTTGCCTACATATTTTTTGAAGTAGCCATCTTGAATCAGGTCTTCAATCTGGCGCTTCAACTCCCAGCAACTCGAGGTATCATGGCTGTGATTGCGATGGAAACGACAGTACGTGTCCTTGTTGCGCTTCTCTCGGTCTCCTCTAAGCTTATCAGGTCGCTTAAGGAGTTTTTCCAAACCGTTCTCCTCAATATTGGTGAGAATCTTGAAGATCGGAATGGTGGTTGGGGTGTACCTCTCATAGGGCCCCCTCCAGTTGGAGTCCGAGTCGGACATCTTATAATCAGATCGACCTTGGGAAGATGACCCCTTGTCCTTAAACTTAGAATCAGACTTTCCCTTCTCTTGGACACCTGGCTTCTTCTGGTCGGACCTCTTGTCTGTCCGACCTTGTTTGGTTTTAAGTAGTTCTTGCCCGTCTATAACCTTCTTAGCCTTCTGCAAGACTTCAGCGAAGGTTGACGGTGCTTCCTCTCCTAGTTTGACTGTCAGAGTCTCGTCGGCCAGGCCAGTAAAGAAGTAGCACATGGTCGAATCGTCAGAGCAATGCGCGACCTTAAGCTGCTCCTTTTGGAAGCGGGTCACGTACTCTCTTAAAGTCTCACCTTCCTTCTGCCGGATGGTGGCGAGGTGAGTGGCTGTTTTCCTGTCATATTGTCGATAAGAGAATTGACTAATGAACTCTTTCTTCAGCTGACTGTAGGTCGAGATCGACCTCGCCGACAGCCTTCTGTACCAGAGCCGAGCATTCCCCGTGAGAGCGATCTGAAAGGCTCGGCACTTGATGGCGTTAGACGCCGCCTGGAAGTCTATGAGGCCCTCAAAGACTTCCACATAATCCTTTGGGTCCTTATACCCGTCATAGGGCTTCATGGCGGGCGTCTTGAACTTTGGAGGGATGGGGCCTCCAAAATGTCCGAGGTGAACGACGATTCACCCATCTCGCCGTTATCAAAAAGACTTTCTTTCCTTTCGCACTTCGCCCTAAGTGCCTTAACCTGTTCGACAAACTTGTTTTTCATCAGGTCGAACTCTTCCCTCGTTATTACGGCCTCTGGTGTTAAAGGTGTGTAATTTGACTGGGCCTTGAGGTCAGAGTTGGAGTATTATTTAGAGCAGGACAAAGAGATCTCTAGGCCCCATGAGGCCTTTCTCTTCTTGTCGACGAGGTGCTTCCTGAGATCATGATCTCTCAGGCTATAGTCAACTCMCACACTATCAACGATGGGGCTCATGACCGTCGTGATGAAGGGGTGGATATTGATTTTCCCCTCCCTCTGGTAGCCGCAAAGATTTTATTCTTGAAAATACCCATTCCACTATGTGTTAGCATAGGATCATTCTCTCTCTAAAATTTTCATCTCCGAAATATTTAGTATTATTTCTCCCTCGCCAATATTTTCATATGCATTTAACATCACTCCTATTTTTATCTCTCTCAAAATATTATATCTGTCCTAAACTTTTTTTTCTCTCTCAAATTTCACTTTTTATCACCTTGAATTCTATTTCTAATATATTTTTTATGTAGTAAATATATCTCAAACTTTTCGCTCTCTAAATTTTTATTTTCAATTTTCTTTTACTAAACATTTCTTGCTCTTTTTATTTAATCATTTTTCTGTAACAAATATGTCTTGATTTTTTTTTTGTCTAAATTTTATTCTCACTATAATTTTTGTTTTTTTTGTTTTCCTTCTCCCTCCAACTCTCAGTTATTTTTTTTTCTTTTTTGCCTTATCTTTTCTCTCAATAATATTTGTCTCGCAATCTTTTTATTTATTTCTCTAATTTTACTCTCTCTAAAACTTTTTATTTATTTCTCTAATTTTACTCTCTCTAAAACTTCTGTTTAAAAAGATTTTTTATCTCTCAAAATTTTTATTTTCAAGTATCTACATTAGGGATGATAAAAATTCCCGTAGGGTCGGGTAACCGCTCAATAAAAAGGGAATGCATTTACCACTACGCCCCGATCCCGTCCCTAATTAAATTTTTTAAATAATTAATAGATATTTTATTACTAATTACTAAATCAAGAATAAAATGTTAAAGATATTTTAAAATAATTATTTATAATAGTAAATAATAATTCTAATATATTTATTTCTCTTTTTTCTTTTTTTAAATTCTAAAAACGAATAAACTTAATTACTAAACCAAAAATTCTCCCACGAAGATCCCCTTCCCCAAACGCGAATTACTCAGACATCTATACTATTGCATCACGATTTGACAAATGCTGGCATGTTGTTCGTCTTAAAGCCCTTTTCAAAGAAGAACTTGTAGTTCAAAATCTCCTTAAACTGTTTGAATGTGAATCGATTGAAGTCAGACCAGTGGGRGGGGGTAATGACTTTCACCTTCTTCCCCATCTTTGCTTCTGGCTTTGGCTCCCGCAAAATAAGTTTAGATTTTCATTGAGTACTACATTTTTTTATATATATATTTAACAAATTGGTAGGATCCAAAATGGCTTAGTCCGATAAACACTCAATACCCACAAATATTAAACAATAAAATATAACTTTAAAAGCTATGCCATACTAATAATAGAACCAAAATTGAGTATAAAAAGCGAGCATTCATAATGGAGAAAGGTAGAGGCAAGGATTAGCCAACCSATAAAAACAAAAGTGATYAGAGTTTTCGAGGGAGAGTAGTTGTGTCTGTGCAAATAGACACAAAGGAAAGTTTCCATTTTTTTAGACAATTAAAAGTCGTTTCCATCCATTTACACTTTCCTTCTGTGTCTATTTGCACAGAGACAAAGGGTCAATATGGTTATACTGAGACTATCGATCTTGTTATGTATGATGTTATGTGGCCCTTCCCTTTCAAGGGCTACTTCTCCTAAGAACATATTCATCCTCGCTGGTCAAAGCAACATGGCTGGCCGAGGTGGGGTTGAGAACGATCGACCAGGCCACCTTGTGTGGGATGGGTATGTCCCACCCGAGGCTCAACCCGACCCATCCATCCTTCGATTAAACCCAGAGCGCCAATGGGAGGTAGCACGAGAGCCTGTCCATGAGGGAATTGACATAAATAAGACAGTCGGAGTTGGTCCAGCAATTGCATTTGCTCGCCAGCTACAGGCCAAAGGCGGGTCAAAGGTCGGCTCCGTAGGCTTAGTTCCTTGTGCTAGAGGTGGCACTCTAATCGAACAATGGGTAAAAAACCCAAGCAATACTAGTGCGACTTTTTACAAGAATTTCATTGAACGAATCCAAGCATCGGATCGAGAAGGTGGAGTGGTTCGTGCTCTTTTCTGGTTGCAAGGGGAAAGCGACGCAGCCAGCAGGGACACTGCTAATAGATACAAAAACAACTTGAAGAAGTTCTTTACTGACATTCGCAATGATATCAAGCCTCGATTTTTACCCATCATTCTTGTAAAAATAGCCGTCTATGACACATTTATGAAGCATGACACTCATGATTTGCCAGCAGTGAGGGCAGCAGAAGATGCAGTTCAACGAGAGCTACCGAATGTGGTGACCATCGACTCCTTGAAATTGGTGAACACTACCACCGTAGAAGGCTTTAATTTGGATCGTGGTCATTTTAATATCAAGACCGAGATTGCTTTGGGCAAATGGTTGGCTGATACCTACCTCTCTCAATACGGCCATTTGCTTTGATCCTATTGGGTTTCCATGTTTAATATCTGTTAAGTTTTTTATGCTATCCCAATAAAAGCATCCTTCCGCTCTCGTTCTTACCTCTCATTTCCATTTAATCTCAACATAATTAATATTCGAGTTGAATTCAATAAATAAAACAATCACATAACTAGTATTATAACTAAAATATATAAATATAACTTTTAATATTAAAATTTTTCATTAAAAGAAAAAAGTAATCTATTTTAAACTATTTTTGTCTAATGTACTATAATTAATAGTCATTCGGTTGTACTTGTATTCCATYTTTTCAAATATGTGTTTGATAGCCGATACCAAAATTGAATTTCAATAATAAAAAAATGGAATAACCATGGTGTTTTGTAATATATTTGTAAGTTATTGGTTACCTACTAAATATTTAGTTTAATCTAAAATATTATTATCTAATTTATTAACATAAATGTTGTTAGAGTTAGTATTTTACAATATGACATCATATTTTACCAATTTTAATTTTAACAAAAAGATTAAATAAGTGTATAACGTGAAATAGTGTATTTATCAAATTTTTATCTTTTTAAATATAATTTTTCATTTTAAAGTATTGGATTCGAAATCTTAAAATACTGAAAATTTGAAAAAGTTGTTTTTAGCATTTCCACTCCCTCGATTACACATAATCCGATTTTAAGAAACAATCCAAACAAATATTCATTGATTTTATTTGATTGGTGAATCTAAAAACTAGAAACAGAACATGAATTCTCTATAGGTTCAAATTCTCGCACTCCACATGTTGAATAAAAATAGCTCCTTGTCTAATAATAAATCCTACATTAAATGATAGCTTAGAGGATAAATATAGAGATTAATACATTCTTCGAGACCAAAAACAACTACAAAATATGATCTACTCACAATGCAAGAATTACACATGTCTTTAATTTGTTGGAGTAAGAAATTTATCCAAACTTTTTAGTAAAAAAAAAATATTTATGGAGTTTTCGAGAAAAATGTTAGATTTTAAAAATATTATTGAAACTGGAAAATTAGATATTTAATTAATTAAAAAGATATATGAAAATCTTAAAAATTAAAAAAAACGCATAACATTGTAACAACATCTGAAGATTGTTTGATCACAAAAATGAGCAGGCTTACGAACCTTGGCTTGGACTAGAAGATGGCCTGGAGGATGAGCTGAAGAGAGCTGGACAAGAGATTTGCAAAGAAAACACTCTGATGTCCAATTCAGGAAGAATCCAAGCAGTATCTAGAGAGAAATATTGTGTTCGAGTAACTTGCATAGAGGCAAATGACTCCTATTTATAGGCGAAATTTTCGACAAGGTCCCCGTTAAGGCCTCAACGGCTCTTTAAGGTAAGCGTGGATCACGGCATGTTGTCGTGGAGTCAGTCGGAATATAGGCTGAGCCGAGTAGGTCCAAGCTGATTTGACCAAAGAATGGGAACACGACCCAAGGGAATCTTGGTTGGTTCGACCCTAGAGGGCGTCAGGTTGGTATTAAGATTTAATACCGAGGTAAGTAGACTCGGCCTTATCATCCCAATGCCATGTATGTCTTTTTCCTCCAATCAAGATATGTCACATGCGAGGCTAAAAATTACCACAAACAAAGATAAAAAGTAGATAATTTTGGTGTTTACGCCAACTAGAGCATAGCTCATCGGTTAAGGTCCATGTATTCTACCATGAGGTTGAGAGTTCCAATCTCCACATTCACATGTGTTTATGCAGRAATTTGCACAACGGTTCTTCAYGAATYGAGCTCGAACCCGGTCTCCGGATCCGACCTGAACACTAGAGTAGACCTGCATAAGAGGGTAAGCACTCCGACGCTCAAGTCAGTATAGATCGGACTCCTTATTTAGTTCGAGGTGAGATTCGATACCTGAGCGTGAAATGAAGTCCTCTATTTATAGGTAATGGATCCGACAGTACACACGACCGGCAGTTATCTGTCTTTTTTCTCATATCGGACTTGTCGGGTTCCGAGCAGATCGGACCCCAGTCAGGTCGAACCTTGGTGCCCATAGTTTTTATAACGGCAAACCCGGYCACCTCGGCAGAGCCRAGGTGGACCTAATCAATCCTTATTTGGTTTCTTCAACACTAATAAGGGTCCTTCACGTGTCTCGGGTATGTTTATCCCCAAACATTGGCCCCATCTCTGTCAGGTTCGATCTCGATCTGACAGAGAAGTTCATTCGAATTTATTTTGGA